GCGTCATAGCTGCCTCTAAAACCTAGGGCACTGTGCCCTGGGGCCACCGAGCACTGGAGGGACGTCTTTGAGAATACAAGGCTAGAGGGGCCTGTGTCCTGGTGAGGCTCTTGCTGTGGAGAGAGAGCCCTAAGAGGGATGAGGTTAGGTCAGGTCAGAGAATGGTGTCTCCTGGCATTGGGCACTACAGATTTGACATGAATACTAGGCTTCCATAGGAATGCTCACCCAACCTTTGGCACATTTTACATGTTACATGTTACATGTTTTACAAAGCGGCAGTCCCTAAGATTTCAGTTGCAGTTGATTTGGGAATATAGTTACTGTTGGTGACAACAAATGTAATTTAATACTACAGGTACCAAAATTCTAGGGGTGACAGAAAGTGCTGTCATTTTAATTAAATAGTGAGACAATAATTGGCCTTTTTCCATCATTCTGTGAGCAACCATAATCTGATTTTATGCTGCACACTGCATGAGCCTGCGAACAGTGAAAGTGAAAGGAGTTGGTTACCTTGCTGACAGGTTGAAGGTTGTTCATCTTACAGCTCAGCTGACTGTGGCTGTTCCTTCTTGTTGCAACTGAACCGCTGTCAATAAATTACTGTTGTCAGACGCATCTTTCATGAACGATAATGGTCAGTGTCAATCTTACTGACAAACACACTGAATTTCCTTTGACTACTTCATAATAAAAGTCAACTGGTGTTTGCTTTTAATGGTGTTTCATTTAAATGCTTTTAATGTGAAGCTGCAACAGTAGGAAATGTTGGCATTAGCGGCAATGCACTGTGTAGAAATTCATTTAGCACCCGCCGGTTTAGAAATTTGGCCACAGAAAGAGTTTTTTTCATTGAAAATATAAGTTGAATATCACCAAAGCCTAGTTTAATTAATTTATCAAATAATAATGGGACAAAAATACATAATAAAATGAAAAGAAAACAGTTTGAACAATACAACTTGCTGCTTGTTTGATTGCTGAATGTACTTATTGGTTATACTATTAAATGTAAAGATTTGGTGGCTGGCTGAAAAACTAGCTGTTTCAGACTGGCCTCACTGATTAACTGAATGACAAAGTCAAAGGCAGACAATAGCTCAGAAAGGAGCTGTTTGTATGCAGAGAGGCAGGTGTTAATTCAGCGCGGCTCCTACAGTGGCGAATGTCGCCCCTTTGCCATTAAAAAGTAGGGTAAACACTGCCACAAGAGACTGTCAACATTTATAGGAAGGACTCTCAACCAAGACAAACCACTTGTGTCGTTACATATTTCTCGCAGTCCATTTCCTCTCTCTCTGTGTCTCTCGCTTCCACCCAGTTTGACCTAATCAGTGATAAGTTGAGTGCTTTCGTCAACAGCATAGCCCCCTTAATTAGCAGCCTATTGCTATAAGCTCATGTGTAAGCATCACTGTACTGTGTGAATGTGCATGTGTGTGCTCACACATTGCCAGCCTCCAGATTGACCTCAGCCCGCTCCAGTCTGTAAGCTAATAAGTCAGTCGGTGAACTTAGCCTCCTGCATATCCAGATGGAGGTTGAATGGGCATTAGGGATGGAGGAACTGAACAGGTAAATGGGGATAACTAACAAGCAGCCTATGGAGCTAGGCAAGCCTCCGAAAGAACAGATGGGAGGCAACACACAATTGCTTTGTGTGTTTATGTCTGTAAAGCAACGTATACAAGTGACAAAAGCTTTCTTTTTTTAAGATACACAATAATAAATGCACGTTTCCCATTCTGTATAGACAGTATCCTATTCCACCTTGCTCCAGGTGACTACTTTAATACCAAAGAATTCCACCTCCACATATTTCCCTATTCCTTCTCCTGTAATGGAAAACATTATTGTTGTCAAGGCCAGCGCTGGGTATTGTGAATGTGGTGTGCGTGTGGGAGGTGGGGGTAGCTCCCACTCTGCCATGTCAACTCATACTCGATGGCTTTCTAAATAAAATAAAAAAAGGAAAAATGCTCTCAGGGACTTTGCTGCATTCCACTTCATGAGCACAAAAACACGAACCAAAAAGCCATTCTGGAGGGAGAAGTGGGAGGGGGTGTGGGTTGGGAGGGGGGCAAGCAGAAAAAGCCCCTTAAAAAACACAGAGAGATAAAGAGGGGGGGGGGGGGGGAGCAGGAAGGCAAGCAGACAGAGCTGAAAAACCAAAGTGACTCCACTACCGATAATGAGCGGATCATTTAAAAAGCCCTCCTCAAATTGCCTTGAGGAGGAGAAGAGAGAGGAAAAGGCTTGAAAGGTTTTGAGAGATTTTGGGCGATGGACAAAGTGGCGATGGGGTGGGGGGGGTTACAAAATAGAGCAGCGGACATGTAAACATGTTGGGCTGTCAGATGCACACAGTGTATGCTCACACATACAGTATATGCACTGAAACATATGGCCCATTGTAGTCCATAGTTGTAAATGTGTGGAAGTCAAGCAGTCAGAGGTGTAGTTGACTACCTGAGCCTACCTGGCACATACCATCTGTATGTCATTGAGTGTGAGTGTGTGCCTGAATATATTATCTGCACAGTTTAAGACCTTTTTGATACCATCAAAAGAAATGTTGTGCCATTACAGTAAATTAAATTAAATACAAATGCTACAAAACAACAAAAACAGTCAATCCATTTGGCCCAGATCAAATTAAATACCTATGTTTTTGACCTTGTACTTAAAAAAACAAAAATTAAGAGGTGTTAAGACTTTTTTGTAAGCTGCAGGAATTATGGCACCAAAAACATGCCAGTCAAAGGGAAGGCAGATACTGTTTTGATACACAGTACAGCATGCATGTGTGTGTGTGTGTGTTAGCTGTCAGTGGTGGTGTGCCATGCTGCCGTGTCAACCAGCCCAAGGCCCTGGGGATGCCAGCTAGCTGGCAGCAGAGTATCAACAAAGCACAACATGACAAAACATGAATGGACTGTAGCTGAGGCCATGCTGAGTGTGGTAAGAACATTTTGTTAGGCATTTGATTATGTGTATTTGCATCCTGGAGCTGTTTGCATGTTGCTGTATCAGCTTACACATGTGTATATATGTGGTATATATTGGTTGCCAGCTGCCACATCTGCTTTTTAAAAGATGAATAAAAGTTTAAAATTAAAGTTTCTCTCTTTTTGCATTTTTATATACACTTGTAATTTACAGTGGCCAAGATATCTTGATGTACTTATAAGTTGCTTGACTTAGTATTTTTATATACAGTGGATCAAATGACTGTTAAGTGTGAAAGGGGTAGCTCACACTGTTTTAGTTCACTAAGAACCTAAGCCTAACATAAGCTCTGATAAACCCGCTGTACACTACCTCCTCAGCACCAAACAGCAGACAAAGTTAGTGAAGCATTTAGCTGCAAAACACCCATATATTTCCCTCAGGAGCTGGTAGAGACCTAAATAGAGCTAAAAGAAAAGTGAATATTGGTCACAAGGCCAGAAACACAACTTCAAATTAATGCTAATGTTTCGTTCAACATATAAACTTCATAAGATAATATTATGTCATTGTTGTATTTACAGCCCCAGAGTGTCTCAAAGATTTCTTATTGTGGATATTCAAGAAAACGCATGCAAATGTAAGTGCAAGCAACTGAGGAAAAATGTTTCCCCCCTTTGACAACACATATATTTCAATTAGAAACAAATCTGCGAATAAATTTTAAAAAAGCCACCAATTTGTCAAAACACACGATACATCAAAACACACTGCAAACAACAAGCAAATACTGGCAAGTTGCAAGTCATAGAAGCAGAAGTTTCCAGGGGACACTGTGCGTTGAGCTCTAGTAAGCCACAGAACACTCATTTACATAGAGGGTGCTAAATCAAATGTTTAAACCCCTTCCATGTTAACAATTTTGTCAACCTTCATCACACAACCCCTCACTTCCTTCCAGTCCTTGCTCTCTTTCCCTTACTCCCTCTGTCCTCTTCTTCCTCCTCCTTGTGCTCGCCTTTCTTCCCCTCTCCTCTTTTCCTTCCCTCTCCATCTTGACACAGTGCACTGAGCCTAATCGTGGATAATTGGGTGGGAGGGGCAGTGGGCCGGCCCTGCCTTTGTGTGCAAAGGGCAAGTGGTCAAGTTAATGGGGCCCTTGTGTCGAGCCGGGAGCACTCTGTCTCTCTCTTTTTCTCAGTTCGATCACTCACTCTGCCAGTTAATCTCAGTCTCTCAGTCAGCTTCTCTTTTCTTTCACCGCTGAAGCTTTTCCCCGCTGTTTCCATCTACTTTCACCGCATTTGCCGCTGTCTCACTTCCCCTTCCCTTCCAGCCATTCAGTGTGTCTTGTCCCATTTCTTTTTTCTCCTCCTCCTCTGCCTTCTTGTCTTTTTCCAGCCTCTCTCTCTCTCCCTCTCTTTGCCTCTGTTTGCAGCTTTTTCTATCTCTTCTCTCTGTCTCTCCGACAGTGTTGGTGAGGACAGAACAGACCTCTTTAAAATATCAAAGGACAGATCAGGAGGCCTCGCTGGTCCCTCCCCTTCTGCTAACTCTCCCTCCCTCCTTCTGACTGATAAACAGAAGAGTGAGCCTGCAGGATTAGCTGCTGTGTACTGCCTTCCCTCCCTCCTTTATCCCTCTCTCTTTTCTTCCCGTAGAGGGGTAGCACACTGTTGACTGGGCTTGATGTGTGTGTGTGTGCGCGTGTGTGTGTTACCTTGTCTGGAACCAGCTTAGCCTGCAGGAGGCCATTGTATTTGAAACACAGGCCACAGCCGATCTGGGCCTGAAGGAAACTTTATTACATCTGTGAACATTTGACTCTGGATTTTTAATATTGGAACGCACATGCACATTTTTCACAAGCAGCTTTGTCAGCCAGCTCCCAATGATAAGAATTTATTAATGACAAATATACGAATCAGTTATAGTTATAGTTTTGAGGTTTTGTTAATGAAATAATGCCATAGTTACAGTGGATGTATTAAATTGTCCATTGCACATTTTGGGACAATTTACAAAGAAAAAGAGTCGAGAGTCCCAAATTTGTCAAAGAAACTGTATTTATTTTTACTCATTAACCAAAAAAAATCACCCACCCATAGACTGCAAAGAACAACATTCAACCCATTGAATACAATACAGCAGAGGGAAAGTGACTATATGAGGCCATGTCCACACTAAAGTGGATAAATCAATATTTTTGAAAATGTCTCTAGTGAAATGCTACTGAAGCAGCTTCAACTTTATCCAAATTGGAGAATTTTCTGTTTTTCTGTTGAAGTTCTGTTTGTTGTGGTTAGGGGGGGATTATGTTCATTTTGGACAGAAAGAAATTGAAATTTGAAATTTATCTGGATTAGTGTGGACATGATCTGCAATTGACCAACACTTCTGATAATCAGATAATAATCAAAATAAAATCCTTGCTGAGACATGCCACCATACAGTCATTTCTATGCCTATAACTGTTGGATTTTTCACTATTTATGTTATTAGTCAACAAATCAAAATAAAAACCACATGACCATCTCATGGTGTGTTGATGTCACAGTGAGAAGTGGTTAGTGTCATAGCATACAGCACTAATATCACAACAAGACATGACGACATCACCGTGTGAAAACGTGTCATCACAGCAGATCGGAGTGCACCAATTGAAGATTTTACCACTAATAGCTGCAGTGATGTCGCAAGAAGCAGCAACGCAGTGTGGATGTCACAGTAAACAGTGTGCTGTAAAATCACGTCACTGTTAGTGGTGGTGATGTCACAGTAGGCAGCGATAAAGTCACTGTACGCAGTCACAGTTCGTTGGATGTTTTTTCCCCTTTGTTAGCCCACAGATACAAAAGTATACAGCAAACTGCAGATAAAAACTTCATTAAACACACTTCTAAACCTTTGCAATGGGAACGTTTTTGCAATGCAATTTCAGCCCTCAAAGCATTGAGACCACTGATAAAACTTGCTAAATTTACTTTTCTGAGTAGTTACACAGGGAATACCTCTTATTTCTGAAGGTGGATTATTTTTTCAACGTGAGGAATGTAAACAGCAGCCACTGGGAGATACTGCATAGCTTCTTGGCTGTTGTATACAGTAATGGATCACAGTGAAATATGGAAACACCTTACTAGTGATAAGTACCACTTTAGGCTTAAGAGACCCACTGATACTTGCATTTCTTCATATCACAATTAACAAGAAACAACTGAATGCATGGGAAAAAAACCCTGAGTCATACAGTAAATTGTGCTGATAGAACAAATGCTAACAGAAAATAGACGAGCAATTGGTCTGAAAAGTTTTTGCTTTTGAGGCTATTAGGAGATCGTGTGACTTTCAAGATCTACGGTTGCACATAGTTTATGAATTTGAAATCACATTCTAACCCCGGATGTCCACTGGATGTGGCAGACCGCTGTTGAAGTGGTCTTTTTTAGATCTTTTTTGGAGTTGGTTTGCAGAAATTATTTGGGTTTACATGCATATAGAAAACACGTTTCCTACTCATTTGTGATCATTCTGGTAACAACTACTTTGTGGCTGTACTTTACTCATTTGAGTTACTCTTCTGGTGCAGCAGGCCATCATTGTATCTGTATTTTCTGAATATTGTATATTAGCAGAAATAAAACCAAAGCACTCCTTCTCCTGCTTCACATACTTAACAGGAGAGGTGACATAAACAAACAAGAAAATACCTTTTCACTGTATATATGTAAAGACTAAATCAATAACAAAGGATTGCACCATTAAATATTAATTTCCCTGTAAATTGTTAATATATCTAGGCATGACATTATTACATTTAAAAGTGAATGTCGCAAACAGATCCTTCAAAAATAGACCCATCCGGCATGCATGAACTCCGAGATGCTGCGGTCACAGAGCCAGTAGAAATTTAAACACCAGCTACAATAGAACTGCAGCAGACTGTCTGCATCCAGTGGACATTGGGGGAAAGAGACCAGTGAGTGATCTGCATTACAAAAAGACAAAAAAAGATGGAAAGAAATCCTGCTCTGTAGAGCATTTCATACTTTTTATATATTCCACAGTACTGGGGTTACTTATCAATAAATCCAAGTAGTAAGAGTCATTACAACGTATGTGCATGTATTCTCTCTCAATCGCCATCTCTCTTTAAACACACATCCTTCCTGAAGGTGGGGTCAGACTAGGAGCTTTTTGCAGTGTTTCACAGCTGCCACAGGATCTGATTGTTGCCAATCAGATGGCTCACTTTAAGTGGCTAAATGTTGCTGAATGAAGCGACATATTCAGCTGGTAACTCAAACAGACTCGACAGCCTCACTTCTTTTACAAAACCTGTTTGATATCCAGTGCAGTCAATGCAACCTGGAGGATTCATGACAGCAGACACAACAGAGCTGAGGCTGAGTTATAGTATACACGTTTGTTTTTGAATGATAACACCAACAAGGCTTTGTAAAATTAAATTACATTGTGATGTACTGTGGACTACTTGTATCCATGGTGATGTTGCTGTGTACAATGCGAGCTGTAGCTCCTGGGCAGCAACAATTGATCCTTAGTCTGAACGTGTCTTAATGTGTTAATGCACTGTTGTGATTAATGCACAAAAGAAGTTCTTAATACTGACCTCTGACTGGGAGGAATGAGTTAGAAGAAACTGAAGCAAGGAAAGCAGGGAACAAAGAGAAATAAAGGAAACACACAGGAAACTGTGAGCTGCTCCACAGTCTGTGATAGTTAATGAATTAGAGCTGGACTCCATGCTGGGGCCAGAAATACAGTGGCACAGCTTAATAATGACTAGTTAAAGAGGGCCGACTGATTGAATAACTGACATCTACAGTAGGACTGACTCAGGAAATTTCAATGTAACTAAATGACTGACTGAACAACTGACTTGTTGGAGCTTGTTGGCTGGAATGGTGACTGGATAACTGGTTCATTTACTGCCATGTTAGGTAATTGAATAGCTGACAGAGGACTGACATGCTACCTGACTGGCTGGCCATGTGGTTCACTTTCCGGGATGGCTGATTAACCAAAGAGATGAGTGACTGTCTGATAAGAGCAGTGATTAAGTGTTTGGTCAACTACCAGAATGACAAGCCAACTGATTAAAGGGCTGACTGACTGAGTGACTATTTTGGAGACTGACAGTAATTATTTGGCATATGGCAAATGGTTAAAACATACTAGGTGGGAATATATGCGCCTCTCCTTTTCTTTCTCTTCAGCCACAGTGAAAGTATCCCCACTGCTTTGGAAATGAGGTGGTTCCTCAGCAACACTTCAAACTGCAAAACAGGCACGCTCAAATATTTTTCCAAAGCCATGCATCATCTGATAATAAATCCTCTCAGCGGTCTGTATCAATATGAAAACTGTCTCAAATATGACCACAACTTGATTTGCTTCCTCTGCCTATTTGACTAAACAGCTGACATTGAGACAAACGCGACTCTATTCTAATACTGCTCTTAAACTGCAATTCTTCCTCCTCATTTAGATCCCAGCATTGACATGACTCTGTAGCCTCAATCCATCACAATATCCAAAAATATGTTGAGCAGTACTCTGTAGAGCTGAGGGCTCACTTGTTTTGGTTTACTGAGTAGTGTGACTGACAGGTTGAGGTCCTTTGGTCAACGTGATGAGGAGAGGATAGTGGATGTTCTCATCATAAGCTTCTTTTCCCTCTCTCAGCATCTGAAAGACACACAACATATAAAGCATTAACTACACTGACTAAAAAGTCTATAGAAAGTCTTTATCCAATATTCCAGTTTGGTAGAATATTTTATAAAAGTATTTTCAATATTTCTACCTCTTAGTCTAGGGATTTGAGACGCTGACCATGTTATCACAACATGGATGCAAAAAATGCCCCCAAACTATAAAGCATTGTTTGTTTTCTGTGAACCATTATTTTATAAACCCTGTTAAGAAAACCATACTTGCAACATGACAAAATTAAATTAAGTTAATTGTAATTACAGTGTGTGCTGCACATCAGCCGCTGGATACATATTTTAAAAAAATAAAGAGTAAACGAATAATGACTCATCACGTTAAACAATAGAACTTAATCGTTTTAATGCCTTTTGTCATTAAAATGCTGTTGATCATACTTTGTAGGTTTGTGGCTCTGAGGCCCGCCAGTCAAACCAAATGGATACACGTATATACATGTATCACATTCTTAAGGATTTCTGTCCAATAATACTAATAATTTGTTAGGTACCATTAAGATTTCAATAGCTTAGTAAGCCACATGGCACTGTGGTGATATGAGCATTAGGGCCGAAACCAACAATTAGTTTCATTGTTGATTAATCCGCCTGTTATTTTTGTGGTTAATTGATTAATTATCTGATATATAAAACCACAGGAAATAGTGAAACATTTCCATCACAATTTCTTTCAAATGTTTGTTTTTAACAAATGGTCCAAAACCAAAAGTAAAGTAAATATTCAACTTTCTGTGATGTAAGACCTTAAGCATTACAAAGCAATTGTGGTGTTTTTGCTTGAAATAATGATTAATTGATTATCAGAATAGTTGCCCATTCATTTCCTGTCAATTGATTGACTAATTGTTCCAGCTCTAGCGTGCATACACACAAACACCGTCACTCTCTCTCACACACAGCTTTGTGTGGTACCCATGCGGTGCCCACTATGTGCCCTTTTAAGCAAACTTGGCAGTTTGGGCACGCACCAGCTAATCAGCTCGCTCAGCGTCTGGCCAAATGAGATGAGACTTATGAAACTGAGTTTAGTGGGTCTGCTCATGTGATTGAGTGTGTACGTGTGTGGTGAGACCATGACAGGGGAGAACTGTGTGAAAAGGTTTCTTCACAACAAACAGAAACTCAGACTGACCCAAAATTCAGTCCCATCAGCAGCATGTAAGTGATCATCCAACTCATGCCTTGTTACATTACAAACTCTAATGCTAGCTGGGTGCTGTTTTCCTGACAAATTAGGCCATTTGTGGCATTCCCCAAAATTACTACATTATAGATGTTATAAAGCAGTGATGTCTTAAATCTTATTATTATTCCCAAATGAATGTGACTGTAGTCTTTTTAACTTCTGCATAGAGGTAGCTCTCCCTCCAGGTTTCTCGGTTTATTCAGCTGTATTAAGACACATATACTACAATAAGTTCACAGTTATAAAGGCACGTGATATGCAGTGTAGTGTGTCTCCGCAGACAGCATGTAATAATGGTGGAGTATTTAAAGCTTCACTTGGGTGGTTGTTAGGCTGTGAACATGCTGACAGCATTAAATGAAAAAAAGAAGTCTCCTATTCATTTCGAAGACCACTGCATTGACACAGTGGGGGTGCAGACATGGAGGACTCCAGCAAAAAAAGTTCAGTCAAATTTATTTATGGAGTACATTTAAAAACAAGTGCTTTAAAGGTAAATTTAAAATACAATTAAATAATAAAAACAAAAATAACTAGAAGAACAGTTGCAAGCGGGGTCCAAGCCTCCCGGCGCGAGCCGCCCCCCCCGGTCCCGCGGAGGGCGCGCGAGTCGGCCCGGGTGCCCCAACGTCGTGCCGCATAAGGTCCCCACGTTTGGTGTTGATGGGCCGTTCCAAACAGAGGCAAAACGTCCTGCATTTGAAAATGCCATAGGAATGAATGGGATTTAGTGAGAGATTTGAGCTTCGCTTTTAGCGCCACCTGTTGGCCGAACTGGGCATGGGATTTTTTTGAATAGCGCCAACTAGGGGCTAACTGTACCAAATTTTGCACAGCCCCTCAGGGGGGCATGCCACATAAGGTCCTCAAGTTTTGTGCTGATCGGCCTTTCCATACCTGAGATATGTTATACTTGCTGTTTTTAGCGTTTTCGCAAATATTTGTTAGCGCCAATCGGACTTGTGGCTTCGGAGGAGTTAATTAAAATAGGTTTTCCAGTTTTTGCGATTTCGCGAAATGAAAACGTCATCGCACAGAGGCGTGTCCTATACCATCGGAATCGGCAGCATCCCCCAAACACGTAGACGTAAGGTTTATCAAAGTGCGATGTAGTGAGCCGTAGTTATCCTGCAAAATGTCCTTTGGTTGAAAATCCCATTGAAATGAATGGGGTGTTTGAGGTTCGATTATAGCGCCACCTTTTGGCCAAAGTGCACCAAATGTTTCAGGTGTCATCAGAGCCCCATGGGGAACAATTGACCCAAATTTGGTGTGAATGGGAGTTGTGATTATGGAGATATAAAATGCATGTAAGTCAATGGCGCCAACAGCGCCACCTATAGGTATATTTGGGTCAACTTTGGTGCATGTAGTAAGGGTAGCATGCTGAAGAATTCGGCACTGGTTTCATGTGAGTGTGACTTGTGGTTATAGAGGAACAATTTTCTTGGATTAAATAGCGCCACCTAGGGGCGAGTTGCACCAAATTTTGCACAGGTTGTTGATATACGCCTTCGTTGTCGGGAGTTCGCGTTCAACTTTTGTCGCAACGCACTGCAACCTCATTGAAATAATGTGTTAACCAATCAAATATGTGCAAGAACATATTCCTGGTAGATTATTATATTAAGTAAATTACGTCATGACTTCAACGTGGTGTTCCTCAATCATATTTCATCTTCTCACCAATACCTGTAGCAACACATCAAGTGTGTGTTAGTGCTGACTGACAGCCGAAACTATTCCTTTACTATACATACAAAAGTAGTAACAAGTTGTTATATACAGGTGTAAAATCAGAGAAAGTGGTGGTCTTGAACATTTCTTGTAGATATTGTTCACAATGACACAACACCCAGAAAATAGGAGGTTTGTGTGATTTAAATGGCTACCTGAGGTTCTGCTTCACACTGTCCCTTGACACTCCTCTTTCACATGTCTCATCACTCCTTTCCCTGTCCTGAGAAAGCAAGAGATCTTCGCCCCTACACCATCTCTTCTTATTCTACCATTTTCCAATTTCTCTCCTTTTTGTTGAATATGAACAAACTGTTTGTGTCTGCCTCTCTTTCCTCTCTCCTTGGTCCCTCCCTTACTCCCCCAGTGCCCTTCATGTGCGTTATCTTCCTGTGGCCATCCCTCCAGGCACTGGCCGGTGGTTGAACCTGTGACCCCCCCAGAGAGAGAGAGAGAGTGAGAGAGAGGCAGAGAGAGTGAGAGCAGAAGGCCCAGGGGGTGGTTGGGCGTGGAGGGGCAGCTGCCTGCCCCCTGTGCTAAGCCTGCTATGGGTACCACAGCCAGCATTCACATTCAAATTCTAACAGGCGGAAGGAGTAGGGAAGCAATAGATGGAGGGATGGAGGGATAGAGAGGGAGGGGGGGGGGGGGGGGGGGCCTTAACGCGGTGAAGGCTGAGAGCTTGCAGAGGTGAAAAGTTTAACAAGCAAAGCTGTTCCTCCTGATCGCAGGCAGCCTAATCAGCTTCATGGGTGGCTGGCTAAATCGGCTCTCAACCTGACCCCCCCACCCCCCACCCCACCACCTCCACAATCTTTTCTCTCCTTTCCAAGGTGCAAGTCATTTATTTTATTGCCACTTTCGCCCCAGCTTCTGTCTCCCTCTCTCGTGCTCATTGCACCTCTCTATTTCTCTGCCTCCTCCTTTTTTCGTTTACTCTCGCCCTTCTTGTGTAGACCAGAGAGAAAGTGAACAAGGTGGAAAGAGAGAGAGGAGGGGGCTTTGAGACAAGGGAGGGACGGATGAACCGGATGTCTGGGGTCTCTCTCGGCAGGATTAGGAAACAGAGAATGAGGGATTGGCTGGATGGAGAGACGAGTAGAGGAAGGGATAGAAGGACAGGCTTGGATAAATAGAGAAGTGGGTCGTGATGTAGGAATTGGGAAGATAGTGGGGAGCAGAGGGAGGAAGAGTGGAGAAGGAAGATATGTCAGAGAAAGGGGAGAGGGAGGAAAGGGGGTGGCCAGGCAGCTGAGGGGGAGAAAGGAGAGTGTGAAGCAGGAAGACAGAAAGTAGGAGGCAGGGAAGAGAGTGTGAGTGCATGGACACAGTGGGGATACTATTTATGCATGTGAGAGAGACGGGGGATCTACACATGTGCGCACACACACACACCGTCTTGCGTGTGTGTATGAGAAAATTAAAATTCATGACTCTCTCTTCACAACCATTTGAGTAACAAGATTAAGATGGCGGGTTAGAAAATAGCGCTGGCATTATCAGGCTGCTTGCAGTCCCTCCAGCTGCTTGCCTCTCTATTCCACAACAGTGGGGATAAGAGGATAACGCGCTAGCCCTGTCTGCCCGTCTCAGCACACGCTTTACACTGACACACACATACACACAGTTCTTAGATACACTACCGCTGCACATCGGGCCTGCCTGCTGTCTGCAGTCCCTCGAGTGTGTTTGTGTCAGAGGGCAAAAGTGTGTGTATGTTTGGAAAACCGCAGAGTAGCGAGCTGGGGGTCTAGAGATGGTCTGTTAAAAAAAATAAATAAATAAAAACGCTGCCTGCTCTCTCTTTTTTTCACACAAGCAAACATTAAGACGGGCAGTATATTCCAAACAAATTCAAATCTGACGTGTGTCAAATCTGGCACAGCGAGGGATGCCAATATACTCACAGCTACTGGGGGTACGTTTGTTTCAACAGCATCTGTTCCAGATGGAGGAGCTTGTGAGTTGCTATGGGAGCATAAAAATAAGTAAAAGCCAAAACGAAAAATGTGGAAACTCTACCAACTACATTATGTTGTTGCATGGCTACCTGAAACAGGTTTGGACTTTGATTGGGGTGCGCTGGTAGCTTAACACCAAGGAGATAATTTAATATTATCTCTTTGAGGCTAAGAGCGACATATTTTTGATTATATAATCATACAGGTTTACAAAGCTCTGTTGTAATGATTCCAACTAACTAACCAATGATTAAAACTGCCAAAATGAGTAAGCGAGGGTTTTGTTTAATACGTTTGAAGAGTTTTGTCTGAGTAATAATTAAACTTTTCTTCATTGCACATTAATTTGAATATTTTAAATGTGATTTTGCATTAATATTAGAAGAATATTCTGTATTAATTTATAACTGATTTCGAGCATATTGCCTCCCAGCTTCTGCTCAATCTGCTTAATCTATCACAAATTTCTGATGAAATGAACAGCTTTATGACAAATTTTAACATTACTACAAAATGTAAAATGTTTATTCATAAAAGTGACGGCAGCTCTTTAAAATAAACACAATCTAATTAAAGACTGAGGCAGCGATGGTAAAGGTTAATTTAGTTTGTAAGCAACTAATGTTACACTAGAGACATTTAAACAGCTTGAATTCTCAGTTCCAGTTTTTTTTCCTGAAAATGGATACACCTGCTATTGGTGGAGATGTCTTTGATTGTGTTAAGCCACAGTGAAAGAAAATCCATAGTGTGTGTTCCACTGTCAGTTCTGATATGCATTTTTCTTGTGTTCTGGTCCACCCACTGAAAGAAAATATAGCTGAAGAAAGCTAATCTGTAGTGCAAATGACAGGCAGCTGCTCATTTGGATGTGCGTGTGTGTGTGTGTGTGTGTGTGTGTGTGTGTGTGTGTGTGCGCGCACAGTGATAGTGTATGTTTCGCTGTGATATCATCATGTGGTGTGTGTGTTTGTGTGTAATGTCTAGCCAATATGCTGTCTGACTGATGTCTGGTCTGTGTGGGATTGTGATATAGCTTGTTTCTTAGCTGTGTGGTCAGTCAAGCACATACAAGCGCGCACACACAAACACAAAACACACAGGGGTTGTTCAGTGTTCATCAGAAGATAAGCAGAGGAGACTTAATCACCTTCAGATGTGAGGGGGGCACTTCAACTTGTCCTCATATCCTTGCAGCACCTGACCCCAAGTGTGTGTGTGACATATGTAAATGGAAATGTGTATTTCAAGAGTGGTCTGACAGTAACCTTGCATGCCACAGAAATGAAGAAGAAAAAAACTGCATAATTTAAGGGTGATTTTCTTTTTTTTAATATCCCGCATCAAATTTAGTCTGAATGTCATAGTCCACACTGTACACATTCTGTCGTCAAGCAACTCTCACCACTATAACAGGCCTGAGTGGCAATTTTCCCAAGCCGTTGAGGTGGTGAACCATTAGGATTATTCAATGACTATATTCTGTGGACCTGAGGCCCAATCAATTCTTCTCGCAGATTTCTTCAACCAAGTTGTATTTCTTTTAAATTGAAGCCAATGGCGGCGTCCACTTTAATCCCACTGAAGCTACTTCTTTCTCTACTTTTTTCTCTCTCTCTTTTTCTCTTTCCCTCCTTTCTTCCATCTTTCTGAGTTTTCTAGAATTGTGTGTCCTTTTTCTAAAATGACTTCCACTCGTCTTGTGACAACACCTGAGGCCAAAACGACCTACTCTACTACTATCTGAAGCCATGCCTCGTGTATAGTATGTTTTTCTCGCCATTCTGAATGGTTCTCTCTTTATATATACAGTATTTCTCCCATTATCTGACATATTCAGCAAATGTTTCCCTTTTGCTTCCCAGTTTTAACAAGGAGGGGAAACCAAACACTAGACTAAACTCAGCAACAAAAAAAGTTTATATACTACTAATTTGATTTGCCAAAAATGTTTAAGAGGAAATTTGTTACTGCCCGGATTAAAATTGCCCCTTTTTCACCCCATGGTACCAGCTCAACTCGCCTTGACTCTATTCACCTCCTTTGGGGAAAAGTTGTACCTGTACCTGTTACCTTGTACTTTTTTTCATATCATCTCCGTCGAGGTTTCACGCGAGCTGAGGCAATAGTAAAGTGTGACATGACAACACTGCAGACCACTGATTGGTCAGAGAGAATCTTCACTATTCACTGAATATACCGTATGACTTTCGCCCACCCTGAGCCATGGTTCTGCTTGAGGTTTCTAACTCTTAAAAGGAAGTTTTCTTTGCCTCTGTTGCCAAGTGCTTGGTCATGGAGGGAATTCTTAGGTTGCCATATATAATATTAAACAGAGTGCGGTCTAAACCTGCGCTATATGAACAGTGCAATGACATGACTTTTGTTATGAATTGGCACTACATAAATAAAACTGAATTGAATTGAAAAACCACATATAAAGAGTTATTTACAAAATCCTACAATGACATGGAAATAATTTTATCTTTAAGCAAAGTCTCAACTTAACGTAAGTGATACTCTGGTTATGTTGGGGTATTACAGTTATGGACTGGCCTCAGGAATTGAGTCCTGCGTCCCACGTTGTCTTAGGTTTAGGCTACTAAAAGACTGGTTTTGTTTAGCGAAAGACGGTGCATTTGGTTAAATACTGAACAATTAAATGTGTCCTGTCTTGTGCTTCAGTCAGCATGGACTTTAATATTTACTATATAGAATGTGTGAGTGATTGTGCATGCTAAATTTAGTGGTTGAGAAATAGTAAAGAGAGAGAAGGAGAGAGACTTTCCTTGCTGAGGTTCAGGCCACTTTAACAGTCACTTTAATGGCCAGTCTGTCCAATTGTCCCACCAGTGTAGGTGAATGTGTGTGCACCAATTTAGCCCACTCCTTGCTGTCCTGTTCTTCTGTAGCTGTGTGTGTAATGGAGTTAACAGCTGGACACCACTTCTTTTAACACTGCCTACTCATGTGCTTTCTGTCGCTCCTTTTCTATTTTTCAGTGTCCTTTTCTCTCCTTCTCTCCTTCTGTCTCTGTCACGGTGCCAAGTTAAGGTAGCTTGTTTTAGCTCCGGTGTGTCTCACAAAGTGTCACTAAACATCAAACAACAGGCTAATCTGCTGGTCTTTATTAAAGCTGAGTGCACATTACAAGGCCTGGATTGTTGCTGGTTTCTTTATTAAGCAGCAATAGCACTTTTGAGAAAGCAACTGTTGAACTGTGTTTAACCAGGTTTTCATCCAAGTCCATTTTAAGACAATGGCCTGATGTCATTGACCTCTGTAAAAGTTCAGCCAAGGCATATACAAGGCTTCATTAGTCTCAATTAACAGAATGAGGACTGTGGATTTTGTCCCATTTCTTAGATAGGAATAGCTTCATGGCCAAGTTTAATGTAAACATGTATCCTTTAATTTCCACCAAAACATGTTGTTACTACTGTCGCCTTGGTTAGAACATGAGGCAAGTCATCACAAAAACTGTTGTTTAAGACATTTTTTAAACAACTTAAAAACAAACAGTTGATTATCATGTACACTTGTTCTATTTTATTCATCCCACATTAATAGTCACACTTTAACTCTTTGACGTGAAACTCTTATGTCATTACGTGAGAATATTACACTCTACATTCATGGTGAGAAAGATAATGATTTTTATTGACTGATATATGACTGTAGGAGCACTTTGCCCTGCATACTTTGATAACATTGGTTTCGATCACTTAGTCCTCTCTCTTACCAAAACAACGACATGTCTTTCTGTTCTTCTTACCTTTAAGTGAACATCCATGACCTGAGCGTCATACTGCTGGTGTTGAGAGACGCAGAGTCCGGCCTGCTGGGCCAGCTGACAAAACAGTCTCAGAGTTTCACCTCGCAGAGGAGCAAACACCAACGCCATGCCCTGGATAGAAAATTATGTGCTTTTGGAGTTAGATAGTTTCACACCTCATTTCTCATAACTTTTGTTGTTTAGCTTTACACACACACACGCAGGTTGTTAAGAGTGTGTCTCCCTTTGCTTTGATTTTTACAAGGTACATATTAGATGATAAACCAAAAAAATTAAGCGCTACAAATCCAATCAAATGTGAACACACATGTAGGTGTGAAGTGTCTACTCATGTATGTGACATGTACACGTGTGTGTCGTGTGTGAGAAATACATAGAGAAAGAAAGTGTTTGTATGTGCACATACATCACAGACATCCCACAAATACTAAGAGGATTACCAACAGGTTCAAAGTTTATTTGAAATCCTTTCAGTTTTATTTCATGTTGATCATGTTATTATTGTTTTAATTAAATGGAGCAAAGAGGGATGCTCACACAAACACACATAGAGCAAATGCACACTGACATAACACAAGCTACTGTAAATGAACACAAAAGGCAGTGAAAACAGCAGGATCACTCCATTTGACAGATGATTTTTCATCTGTATATCCAGTTTTTCACTCTCCCCACCAACTCTAAAAACACAGCAAAAGCAAACAAACAAAATTCCTCACAGCACTAATCAGCTGATTAAGGGGATCCAGCCCACCGGATGGACCACCTTTGTCAGAAACAACAAATTAGTGCCATTAGAATAGAGAATTAATTGCTTTGTTAATTGCTTAATCAGCTTAGCAAATTATTAAATATTTGGCAAAGCTTGTTGTGGTAGTGACAGTCTGATGGCTGACACTCAAATCATATTAGCTCCTGAATTATCTCCACTGGATTAAAGAGAGAAAGACATGAAGAGAGACTTAATACACAGATGTACAACAATGGCCAGATGTCATGTCTGTCATTCGACCACATAGCTTCTGCATTCAACTGCAACTGAGACACATATTCAGGTTATAGATGTTCCTGCGCATGTCACTGTCTGAAAAGCCAGCTGAGAAAATGTGTGTCACCGCTGGCAACAACCTGAAAGTAATATTAACAGTATGATCCTTTTGTCCTTCTTGCTACCTGCTGTTTCAAAGCTAATGAACGAACTGGATTTTAAATGTTTGGTTCACCCAAATTATAAAGATTTTCTCACTTACATATTGTGGTATCTGGCCAAGCAGATTGTCTCAGTTTTATGTGTGCAGGTTTTAAATTATCCATTGCTGAGATTTCTGACTCCACCCCAATTACATGGAAGTGAATGGAATTTCATTTGAGGTGCTGACAGAACTTAGAAATGACATTTGAAAGCAACATCTCTTTTCTGAAACAGTGTCCCCGTTGTGCTGGATAATCCAGAAAACATGCAGTCAATGGTTATCATGGGGCTATTTCTTCTGTAGCAAGTAGTTCTAGTGAAAACCGATCACAGCCAGGTGGATTATTCAGAGAAACAGGGACAGTGTTTATGAAAAGACAGGATGCATTTAGATATTGTGTTTTCTTTGTTTGGTAATTTGAGTGAACTGACCCTTTTATTATAACTTGCATGTGTCCGGTCCGCCATCTATAAAGGATTTTCAACAAGATACACATTTCCCTCCCTGTTTTTTTTCCCCTTTCTTCTGCATCTCTCATCAATGTCCATCTTTTCCATACCTCCGTCATCCTAATTCCTCTCCCTCCTCCTTTCCCTCTATTTTCCCCGTCCGCCTCTCTCTTCCCACATACCTTCTTGTGTCCTCTCCTCCTTCTTCTTCTCCCCATCTCCTTCATCCCAGTGCTCTTTTCACCTCTTTTTCATAAACAGATATTTCCTGTAACAGTCTGGCCTATGTACTTAAAATGCACCCCTGTTCCCTCAGATGAATAGAAATCTCAACCGTATCTCTTCCAGCCTTTTGGTTTTTACCCCCCCCCCCCCCCCCATTTGCTTTGGCTGTCACAGCATGGGGTCTTATCGCTAGGCCAAAAGGGAGAAGTTGCCTAGGATTTATGATTAAGGGAAGGCAGGAGAGAGAGAGAGAAGGAGATCAGAGCGATGCATTCAAGTTGCTCATAAAAAGCATTAAAGCATTACATGATATTAATCCTGTTAGCCTATTAATGTGTATAGGGTTTTGGGCGAGGCCTAATTATGATGAGAAGAGTGGGTAGTGATTTAGAGGATGGGGATAAGCGGAGATATATACAGTAGACACACAGAGGCAAACACGCACACACACACACACACACACACACTTACGTTGGGTTGCAATAATCTCCTTATAGCATCAACCAGGCTGGCTCTGTACTGGTCGAGAAACAAACTGAGAGGGAGAGGGAGAGTCAGGTTAGAATGCATTCTTACGATAGCAGCTCCAGATAAAGCAGCAGAGGCTATTTATTTTCTTTTGTTCACAAACAAATCCACCAACAGGAAGAAGGGGAAAAACAATTTGCATGAGTAAGACGCTCTTTTTTGTTTACGTTTGAGTTTCTGTGTGCATTCACCCCAGCCTGTTGTCGAGGCACTGGGAAGAATGCAGAACATCAGAAAATCCAACGAGCACAGATACCATCAGCGACAGTAAACACACACACGTGTACACGCAGACATGCATACTTCTTACTGGGACACTTCAAAGCGGCGCAGAGGCACCTTGCATTTGTGGAATTAATACCTGGAGTGTGCGCTCTGAAGTTAATATGAAGATATAAGAATAAAAACAACACACAAAAGGAGAAAGAGTAAAACAAACAAAGTCAAATTAACTGGTTCCATTGTACATTAAACACCACTGTACTGTAACTTGCATGTGTGTAGGAGAGATGGCGTATAAATGTGTGTATCTGAATTAGAGAATTAGCTTTTTTCCATATGTATACATGATGATACGTGAGTAATTAGTTTAACTGATAAGTATCGTAATATCAGGGCGCTCTATGGTGGAGTGTGGGAGTACAAGTTGGACTACATTCCACCCTCCAAATTCCAGTTTGTATGTGTATGTGTTTGAGACTCTCTGTGTATAGTACATAATGTGATTTAAATGATAATGCAAAGAGTGGATGATGTGAAAAGAACAAGCTATTGTTGGAGTCACAATGAGTCTACAAGCATTTTCTTCTGAAGGGGAAAACTGTATGAACCTCAGAAAACAGAGACTGAGACATAGATGTGGACTCTTTTTGTTAACAGTACAGTTATCACCTTAACGAAAAAAAGGTTTCTTAATGACATATTTTAGAAACAAAATAACAACAAGGGTAATATGTACAACTGGCAAAATGCTTTTACAAAATTAGTCTATATTTACATTGTTTTCATAAAGTGCAAATACCCTGCACTTTTTGTCTTCTTCAACATATGTGGAGGACTTTAAGAATGTTGTTTACCTCAGCTTTAGGCTAGCGAATCTAACTTTAATGTAGATATGTAAAATATATATTTGCTTGAATATTTCTGAGTGAGAGGAGGGCACGACTTACTGTCTACAGAGACAACGATAACCTGCTGACTAAGAAAAAAAACTTTATTACAGTCTAAAAGCATTTGAATAGTACTTGTAATTGAAGGCTACAAACACAATTAAAATTGCATGCTTGACCCCAGTTTGTACTTATGTTTGTACAGTAACTTGCTGACAGTGAAGAAAACATTCCTGTTACTGCGCATTGAGGTTACATTGTAAATAAAAATGCTGTATAAATAGATTGGACTTGTTAACTATCTTTCTCCTCCAAGTGTTTCATGTTTAATAACTGTGTCTAATAAAATTACTGCAGTACCCTGGTCATCAAGAGACAAATTTAGATCAGTCAATCACACCCTTCTGTCACTCTTCTGCTGTACATCAATATTTAATAAATTCAAACAACATTATTAAGACAATAATTATAATCTTCACACACTGAAAATGAGATCCACCATTTACTTGACAAAAATAAAGTAATGCTCAACCACCACAAGGAGGTGGAGGCTAAGATGTGGGTTTTGTTCTTCTTCAAAAATAAAATGCGGTACGTGAAAGAGAACAAAACAAAGATGTCCAAGTATAAATACTGACCAAAAAGTTTATATCATGTTATTTATGTGTTGGGTGATGCCATGAAGATTAGCTCCTTGTAACTAGTTCAAGCCCTGATATAAATATAAAAATATAAATTAGCTTATAATAAAGTCTTGATTTTTTCATCCTTACACAAATTCACTTTTTTAGAAGAAGTAGATTTTACATGAGGAGTTTTTAGATGGGATGGAGACACACACAACACACGAGCCCAAATCGACTATAATCATTCTAAACAAAGTAACACCTGTTTCTATATCCACAAAGACAAATTTCAATCCATTATGCAAGTAAGTAGAGCAGTGTGTGTGTGTGTGTGTGTGTGTTTGTGTGTACCTATTATCACAGATGAGAGTGGAGTAATTTGACTAAAATGCAACAATACAGTGCAGATTTGACATAATCCTGCACATCCGTCCAACTGGCCAGTGGAGTGGCAATCTGGACGTAACTTTCCAAACGCAGCCTCTGACCTCTCCTCATTCAAAATCCTCTGATCCCAATGAGGAATGAGAGGTGCATGTTACGGATTCTCCTCTCTGCAACTCTGCCCATACCTATCCAGATACGTATTTACCTCTTAAACATAATAAATACAGATTGAAAGCCTCATGTCTGTCCACAGGACATGGGGAAGACATTTTTAAAAAACAAACAGGACTTATCATTACAAGTTCTAACCGAAACCAGGATGGGTGTATGTATGTGTAAAGTTTATTGTTCTTCTAAGGTTAGACAGAGGTGCAAAGTTTATTTGACTTGAAAGGTGAGAGGTTTGTGTTTGGTTTATTTTGACACAGATATCAATTCACAGGAAAAGTGAGTGGTAAGAAAACAAGGAAGTGAACTTGTTGGGTGGGGGTAACGGCTGAAGCACACACAGACACAAACACAATGAGGGCATGGGAAGGACAACATGTCATTAGGAGGGCAACAGTTAAAAGACCCACAGTCATTGCTGATTAAAATGAAAAACATGACAAATAAAGCCACATATTTTACATAAAGTAAGCCTTTCACTACCCATTACCTTACCCAACAGTAAGTTACTCACATGTACAGAAAGTCAAATCCAAAGTTAAACTAATTCTAATTTAATAATATGTCATACACAGGTACTATTATGGATTATAGGGGCATTAGTTTAAATAATTATCATTGCAGGAACAGGAATTGTTAATTTGAACAGAAAAAGCGTGAATAAAAGTTTATGGTATAAAGAATAGTATAATAAACAAAAGAATATCCAAAAGTCAAACCCTAACCCATCTATAGGGGAAGACTCACAAAGAGTCTTAAAAACAGTTAAAAATGTAAAGGGGGCAAAATCACCACAGCTGTAAAGCTGGGCCATATGACAGCAGATATAGTATATGCCCATCATATATCTTTGTTAGTCTCATTTTGTGACCACTGTTTTGTTTTTGGAAGCAGTTTACCATCTGTATATAGGTATAAAAAAAAATATATTAAATTTTGGAAACAAGACCACCATTTGGTATGGACACACAGTTTAATATTTATATATGAATTTAAAATTGAGTGGTCTTCCCCTTTAAGGTCACTTGTGGTGCCCTGAGACTGTCAGAAGACTATTGTCTCACACTGACCCCTCCACCCAACACAGCCCAATGAACTCCAGACTGGAGGTCAAAGGGCAGAAAGCGGGTGTGTGTGTGAGAATGTTGCTGCTATATTTGTCTGCTTAAACGCGTATGTGAACATACAGGATGTCGTCAAAGCTGCAAGAGTGAGACCGTGGAAACACATGACATCATCTTCTGAGCATTAGTTTTCCCATGGGGGAAATTTAAGGGTTAATATTATAATAAGGGTGTTTATTTATATGCATTACCAGGATATTAACATGCATCACCCAATTTAATTCAGGGTTTGTGACACATAGACAACATTTCAGTTATTAGTCAGATTAACTAGATTAAATAACAGTGCTCTTCAGTATGATTCCTGTTTTCCGTGAATTTATTTTGACATGTATTTTTTTGACCTACTGCACCTTGCTGTGAAAAAACTAATATCCAATCAATTTGTTTCAGATTATTCAGTCCCAGAACATCCTGGAAATGTACTATTTGTACATGTGATGTCATGTAGAAAAACAAGACTAATCCACTTAAGACTGGAATAGCAGCACAACCTTGTGACCATGAAAACAAAAAGAATGAAAATAACATGGGTAAACACCAAGTGAAGTGCAAAGCGTATTAACTTAGACACAGTTAAGACAGTTAATACCAAAACTAGCAACAACGTTGGTTTCACTCTTTCATCATATTAAGTATACAAGGATGCGTGTGTTGTGTGTGTGTGTGTACTTGAATGTGTTTTTCTAATCACACTCTTAGAAGCGACTTACACGTTTTTTGGCAAAGACTCTAAGGGTGCCTCTAAGAATCATTCTGTTGAAGTGGTAAAAAAAGGCTGGACTCGGTTTTTGTTCCTATTTTCTGAAATTGAATCTAAAATCAATTAACATGGTATTGAGATTTGTTATCAGCTTTTTGTTGGCTAAAAATGATGAATTGCTACAAAGTTATAAATCTTCAACACAACCTAAACGAGATCTAAGCAACAGTTGACATGATGATCGAATTTTTCTCACAGACACAGTTAAGCCCTGATGACACAAAAGTGTCTCCATATTTTGTCTTTTTCATTTATTTGGATCTTTTCAACTTCAAAAAATGTTTTAAAGAATTTTCTCATTACTTCAGTGTAACAAAAAAATGTTCTATAGACCTCACAAAAATTCTAATAATTTCAATTTGGATTCACATATAGCACAAAAAGGGTCGACACAAGGGTCAATCCACTGTCAGATAATTAAAAATCAACATGCTGCTGTAGAAGATGCCTACATAAAATAAAATGGGAAATAAAAAGTACTGCAATTCTGATATGATGGCGACAGAGAAAAGACATAAACAAAAGAGCAGAAAAAGAGATAAAGTTAAGTAAATGAGAAAGTAATTTATAGGAAAAGACTGCCTCTAAAAATGAGTGTTGAATTGTTCATAACACAGAGAAAAACAATAAATCAAGACCATAACCAAATAGTTAATATGCTTAAGTAAAATATTGACTTAATTTGTATCAGCAATGTGGTTGACTCCAAGAGAATGTAATGAAGCATTACGCTTGACTTAAGATGCTTCAGAATTACCTATTCTGATCTCCTATAGAGGAAAGTACACTTGTACAGAATGGCAAATGCTTTAGTTTTTGTATAGTAAATTAAACATCAATGATAAAAACAATGTTGTTTCTTTATCAGTCCTGATGTACTAGCAGGACTGGCTTGTTTACTGTCTCAACATCATCCAAAGTGCAAATGACTGCCATTACATGTCTGACCTTCTGTCCAGGCTGGTGCTATGGTGCCAATTCATCACATACAGTTTTACAACAAAGATGTGTGTTTGTTTTGTGTGTGTTTGTGTGTGTATTTTCCGGTAATGGGCCCAAAGTTCCTAATCTAATCCAATCCAGTAGTATAACAGTCAGCTCTTAAGTGAAACACCAAACAGGTGTTGGCATAAAAAGTGCATGTGTGAATGTTAAGAAAATGCAAATGACATCGATAGAAAATAGAAAAAGGCCCACACACACACACACACACACACACACACACACACACACACACACACACACACACACACACACACACACACACACACTCACACGCATATGCATAAACAAGGCTTTATCTCAGTGCCCACACATGGACAGCTTTTGGAGAAAGCAGACATGCCAACATCCCAGCCAAGGATCCTCTGCCACCCACATGCCCACTGCAGGAATCTCTCTCTCTGTCACACACACACACACACACACACAAAAAGATGTGAGGAGGCACACAACACTTCATTATCCCTGCACTACTGTCTTTCTCTCTGTGAATTACTTAGATATTCACTGTCATTGATTACACATTTTGAAAACTGATAAGACTTGAATATTTCCTCAATTAACTACACAAAAAGTCTTGACACAAAATGTCCATTCGTAGTGTATGTGCACTGGAGGTTTCAAATTTCCACATCTCTTACACAAGTTTCATCTTGGATCATGATTGGCTACAAGCAAGTCGTGATGTCACAAAATCCCGCTTGTATGTACACGTGAATCAAGTGAATTTGACATTTAGGGTGAGTACCGAGAAACTTTCCTACTTCGGCAGATTCATGTGAAAAAAGCTTTCTAGAGTAAAATATATTTCTAGAAAGGGGTAGGTGCCTTTATGTAAAATGACTGCTAGCAGCAGCTATTTTTTTTAGACAAACTGGTATGAATGCTGTATATACAGTATATTCTATGAAGGACACTGGTGACAAGGTTATTCAGCAGAAGTCATTTGACATAACTGTAGTGCTATTTTTATTCAACAGCTACTGTGACTGGCAATGACATTTAATATCTAGACCACATCTAGCATTATACCAACCTATGATTCAGACCTTTTCCCCAATTGTGACATCACGCAGACAATTTATAATGTCTTGTTCGAGTGGCGCCGTTTCATCACATTATAAAGTTGGTAAAGCGCTGAGCAGATTCATACTTGAATAGCACTTAAATAACACATCGAACGGCAAAATCTACTCCAAGACTCGACAGTTCTACTTTTGCATAATACACCCTCATCAAGAATAGGCAAGATATCCAAAGAAGTTAGGTAATAATGGACTACTGATATACAATGTTACAAGTCTTCGTGTCCTTACTCCTCTCTCCTGCTCCCCTCTCTTCTCAGCGTTGGTTCCAGTGCTGCCTGTAGGAGCTATAATTATTCGGAGTGGAAGCTGCATTGTTGACCTTTTCGCAGGTGATCATCACCATGATGCGCCCGTTAATCGGTCAGCCATCACTCTTCAACCACCACCACTGCAATCATCACACAATCACTCACTCTCTCACACACACGCAAAAAAGATGGCACACAGAAAATCGCTTGCAGCACACACACACCGCACAGGAAATCTTCCGATATCAAAAGTCTACATGCAATTTACTCTGTTCTCACACTATCTGCTTCTATCTATCGTACACACATGTGCATATACACTAGTCCACTGTAAAATATCCTCTATTAGCTGCCTGCTCTCTTTCTCTCTCTGGGTGTTGTACCTGACTATTACCTATAATGACCGTGACATTACAATAATGATAACAGCGTTTGCTAATGCTGCACTTAGCACACATGCACACACTCGTGCAGATAGATACACACATACTGTACACAAGCTAATTTTGTTCGGTGTTTGTGAAGGTGGTAAACAGTCAAGTACTTTCACTTCAACCGACAGCATTTCCATCTTCTCAGCATGTGTGTGTTTGTATGTGCAGTGCACGTGTGTATGTGAGTGTGCAGGTGTAGTGGTAAATGGATGTAAATGGAAAAGTAGTTGGTCCACTGTTCCATGACCAGTCCTAAAAAAAGGGGAACTGCCATGCTGGTCATTAGACACCTTCCTGAACCTCCATGTATATTGAAGAGACATGTCAACCAAGATAGCCCAACACTGTCCGAAAGTAGAAAGGGAGCCCAAGCTCCTCATCTCTGGAAACACGTCCCAGTTTGGCTTCGGGAGGCAGACACCATCTCCATATTTAAGAGTAGGCTTAAGACTTTCCTCTTTGACAAAGATTATGGTGAGGTCTGGCTCAGGTGAACCCTGAACCATCACTTAGTTGTCATGCCCAGCTCCCGCAGTTAGATTGTTGTGTTCCTGTCTGTTGGAACGTCTTTGTCTGCCTTCCTGCTCTGTGTGATTACCTGTCCTGGCCCTAATGTGCTTCACCTGTGCCTCGTTGTGTCCCTGGCCTCAGTGTATATCTACCCACTTCCCCTTTGTTTCAGTGCCAGTTCGTCTTGATCCCTTGTGTCAGTGTCCTAGCGATTTCTCAGTGTGCGCTCTCTTGTGTGTTTGACCTTAGCTCTCCGTTTTTTGACTCCAACTTCTGCTCTGTGATTTAGTACTGCTACCTGAGACTTTTTGGATTGGGTTCAATAAACTGTTTATTTTGTGAACCACCTTGAGTCGTGCCTGGTGAGTCCATTACTACTGTGTGTTGCCTTTTAATATTAGTTATTCTCCTATAGGTCTAGACTGCTGGGAGACTTCCCATGATGCACTGAGCTCCTCTCCTCCTCTCTCTCTACATCCGTATGCATTCTTATCCCATTAATGCTTGTTAGTAACTCGACATCTTCTCTCTCCTGTAATTTTGCACTTTCTCATTTCTCTCCTCTCTCCTTTCACTTTCTGCAGGTATTTCTGCCTCCGGAGCTGAAGAGCTCCCATCTACTGCCTCTATGTTTCTGCTTGACACCCGCTGCTACAATTATTATATTTAGTCCTATTATTACTATCATTATTATTATTGCTACTTATTATTACTATTATATTTTTTGAATATTATTATTACTATTGCCATTACGTTACATTACTATGTTTAACTTGCATTGTGCATGTGTTCTCCCCACCTCCCTTTCTACCTCTTTCACCCCAACCAATCGAGGCAGTTGGCCGCCCGCCCTGAGTCTAGGTCCTGCTCGAGGTTTCTGTCTCTTAAAAAGGAGTTTTTCCTTTCCTTCATTGTCGCCAGGTGCTTGCTCATGGTGGGAACTTTTGGGTCTCTGTAAATAATATTATAGTGTGGTCTAGACCTGCTACATATGACAAGCACCCCTGTAATAACGTTATTTGCACTATACAAAATAAAATGTAACTGAATTGAAATTGTCCAGGGCTTTCGGCACCTCAGGGTGAACCTCATCCACTTTTGGTACCTTCCCACTGCCTGAGTGAGCTCCACTAGGAAGTTAGGTAAGGCTTCCTCCGAGTCTTCTGACCTCTCCACAGAAGGTGTAATGCTCAAGTTCAGAAGGTCCACAAAGTGTTTCTTTTATCGTCCAACAATTTCACCAGTCAAAGTCAGTAGTTCTCTTCACCTGGTAAAACACTCTGGGCAAGTCCCTGCTTTCCCTCCAGAGTCATCTAAAGGTTTGCCTTTAGTCCCTTTCCATGTCCTGCGCGAACTCCTCACACACCTCAGATTTTGCTTCCACAACCACATAATCTGTATACCCTCTGGACTCCCAATATCTGTCTGCTGACTTTAAGGACTGCTGCAAGTGTTACTTAAAGGTTTCTACATCTGTTTCTATTTAAATATTGATCATTTATATTTTTAAGTCCTAACATCTTTTAATACTTGGTCAAAGTATTAAACAGTTTAAAGTGTAGGCACACAAGCAAACACATTATAATTCTTAATCACTTTGAAGATGATATGCTTAAAACATGTATCCATAATAAAGGGTATGAAACTGATCATGTTTGATTTTTCTTTTCTCTTTATTTTGTTTACTATTTAGTAGATACTGCAAGTTTCTATGCAAGTTTCTACTGGCTGGGCCTAGGATGCAGTAGTTGCATGAGCAAGATGTACTTACATTTAATTTACCACTATAGCCCTGAGTGTTTTTGTGTGTGTAAACAAGTCAAGGTTGCACAATCCATCCTTTTTGATAGCTTTACTGCAAAGAAAAGTAAAAGTATGGAGCAGTGAAAACTCTCAATTGCTTTCTGAGTTTTCATTCTTTCCTTTCTTCATATTTTTTCCAAGGATGTCGCTGTGCAGGATACACTGAAACTTTTGATGCATTTTACCTCACGCAGTACAATTGAGCGGTATAAAAGATGTAATTCTTGATTTGCCACAAGATCTAAATTTCAATGACCAATGGGCTAATTGTTATGTTTATGTTGCTCTATCTCTCCATTTCCATCTCCATTTCTACTCCTCCCTCCATACACCCTCAACTCTTTCTTCATCTTACTGTGTCTCCTTCCTTGTCAAGGCGCAATTATTTGCAATTTGCCTAAGTCATCCATTTGCTGGGACACCAAGCATGAAAACGAGGCAATTTGGTGTAAAATGGAGGCAGGCGGGCATCTGAGCGTGTGTGTGTGTGTGTGTGTGTGTGTGTGTGTGTGTGTGTGTATGTGTGTGTGTGTAGAACTGGCAGGGGTAGGTCCAGGCGCTGGTGGGGGGCCATGAAAGAACTGTCACGCAAAAGTGAAAATTAATGCCATGAATGCACACGTAGAGGTGTGTGTGTGTGTGTGTGTGTGTGTGAACCTACCAGTCTGCACACATGACAATGTCAAAGTGATCCTCCAGTGCTGAAATGTCCGACTCACAGTCCCACCTCACCACCCTGTAAGCACACACATAAAACAGAGAGCAAAGTTTACTATCCGCAGAGCTGGTGACTGGAGGAAGCCAGCGTTCATGAATCTGCACAGCAAGCAACAGCAGTTTGTCCTTCACTACTGCTTTTCTCTCTTTCCAACACTTTGAGCTTCTTGCTCCCCGACACCTACTGCTTTTCTGCTTCAGTAGAGACTCGGACAAAGTGTCAGGGAGGGAAGACATGTCATCTGTGAGGTAAAGAGAGGGAGCCTCTGACATGACACTTGACATTTATACCGTATGAACACACAGACGCACACACACACATCCACACAGTCCTCACTCTTCATGTTTCTTTCTTTATTGGCATGATCATTGCCAAAGCAGGCTGTAGGCTACATGCTTTATAAGTATATTGATTCAGATAGGGATTAGGAAAAAAGACAACCAATTGGTTGCAATGAACTGGGAATAGCGAGAACCATAAAATATATTATAAAGACATAATATAAAATAAAAAGATTTTGACAAATGTCAGTTTCAAGCGCACACATATGTTGGTGCTTCTATGGCATTGTCAGTTTTTTCCACATGTCTCTATTTCTTGTTGTTAGCAGAACTGACATTATCTGTTTTCTCTGGGTTGTCCGGTTAGTATGTGTCCACCAGGGTCAATGACCAGGTTGTGGTCAGTCAGTCTGTATTTCATCAGTTTTAAAGTTACTGATCACTCATGGTACTTGGACAATCTGCCACATGGTATTGTCTCTTCAGTGCTAAACAGCATTTAAGTTAAGGCGTAGTACATTACTAGTGGTTAATGTGTTTTTCTTTGGCTATAATTTGGTTTTTCCAGACTGTGTAAGGGCTGTGCTGACGCGGCGTACAGTCTACAGCCTTCTCCTCCATCTCTATTTCCACACCATTTTCCCCTCTCTCTTTCTCTCTCAGACTGTTAGGCAGAGTGGGGGATTATTAATTAGGCATTATTAACACTCAGTAAACAAAACATTAGGCCCCGCTAGAAACACAATCTCGATTCGCGGCAGGAGGTCCCAACACACACATACGCATGCATGTGCACACACCATCACGCGACATGCCCCTCCCTCTCCCTCCCCTTGTCCAATCACATCATGCCCTTCGCCCTCTCTCGCGGTGCGGCGATGACAGCAGGCATAATCTGAAAAGAAAACAATCAAAGTAATGTAGCCTAATTATACGTTTACTTTTTCACTCCATCTTCCACTCATGTAAATATGTGCAGGAGGGAGAAACAGAGAGGGGGGGGGGGGGGGGGGGGGGGGAGGAGTGAGAGAGCAGGAGAGAGAGGGAAGAAGAGCAAGGGGAGCGAAACATTCAGTCTTTTCTGAAACAGGGACAACAATTAAGTACGTTTTAGCCAGTCCTTGTATATTAAGTGTGTGTGTGGGTAGGGGAAAGTTCTCTCAATAGTTTCTGGATTAGAACTCCCTCTTAAAGGGAATCGTTTTGGTTGGCTGACTCTGTGTGCATGTACACACACACACACACACACAATCCACTTGAAGTGGGTATTACAGTATGTATGTAACCAGGTTTGATCTTTTGTTGTTCATTTTTCACACATTTATAATTGACAGACATTAAACCAAACAAATTGAATTTTAAATTATCTATTCATAGAATGCATACAATATATTTGTACAATATAAGGGTATAAAGATGTGTTGTCCATCTAAAGTTGGTCCACAACCATTATTTACAGATCACTGACAATAGCACACATTGAACAAAACTATTTCCCCTTTTTCCCCTTCATGTGAAAATGTTAGCCAATAGTTAAATACTGTACAGGACCTGAAGTTAGGGCGATGATTACATTTAGGTGTCTAAAATAGGAAACTTACACATTTTGGTTGAGATTAGAACAAGGTTTTAACACTATGAAAAAATAGTAGATAATATGTTGTTTGGTTAAAGAGTAACTCAAGTTGTTAAGAGTTGAAAACAGATGTATACGTCTATAAATCAACACATTTTCACAATTGTCTTCTCTTCCACAGTAATTCACTCTCAAACTGTACAGTTGGGGAAGTCATCTCTTATGTATTGTGTTATGTGTCCCTTGCTTACCATGCACATTATTGTGCAACACTGTCTCTGTGTTGAATAGAATCCAGCCATGGCTAGGGTTTTACATTCCTACTGCGGCCACGCAAACTAAAATGCATGCACTCAAGGCAACATGCACTACATGGCAGTACAATGCAGTACAATATGTTTACTTGTTACACCATGATGCGGCCCCATTCAAGGTGAAATATCTGAGGACCTTTTAACAAGCACTACACACATTCCAGGTCAGGCATCGTATCTTTCCATAAGGAGCATGCACCAAAAAGAGCTAAGAAAATGGTCTCACCTGGCAGATACATGCGTTGACCCAAAATTTCCAGCTTGCCCGTTTCTCTCGACCAGCCCTCGTACATCTGACGTGCCACGGTCAAGGATTCATCATAGACACACATATTACATCCTCAACTGTAGAAAAATGCTCAAAGATCCTATATTATATTAAATAAATGTTGTCTCTATTTGAATACAGTGCATATGGCCAGAGATGTTTACAGTAGATAACAATTTTAGAGAAGTCATTGTTAAAAATACATGTACTGAAGTCAAGTCAATATTATTTATATAGCTAAATATCACATACCCCAAACTGGCCTCAAGGGGCTTCACAATCTGTACAGTACGACACCCTCTATCATTAGACCCTCTATTCTGATATGGAAAAAAAAAACCAAAATTACGTTAACAGGGGAAAAAATGAAAGACAGGCAAGGATGGAAGTAAGAACACTGGTCATCTACCTCTACCACTCACATTTCCCTTACTGAGTGATAAGATTCAAACTGCAGACTGTTCCATCACAAGACATTCGGTTTAAGGTTTCTGGAGAAGTCTGTGTATCATGTTGCAAAAGATCTATACAAGAGACACAATCTCTGAGCAAGACCGTGTTTAGGTAAAAACACATATGGTAGAAACCCACACAGAAACAGCATGAGTGAGGAGAGATGATCACCAGGAATAGGGGGCAGCCTGCAGAAGCAGATCACAGCAGCCTCTAGCTAGATCAATGGGAAGGCTTTTAACCGCAGAAACACAAACTCACACAGTCCCTCTCGCATGCGCACACATACACGCAGATGAACGCACACAAAGGCAGGGCGATTGATGTCAATTTGTCTAGTAATACACTGGCTTGTGGAGTTGCAAAGCAATTCAATTAGGATTTCCTTGTCTTTAAAGCCTGCAAAGAGCTGAGACAAATCCAATCGACATAGACAGAGAGCAAGAGAGAGAGAGCAGGAATGCGTGATAAGTTGATAGATGGATTGATAGCCAGAGAGCCAATCCAAAATCAAAGAGGCTTCCCAGACAGGCCACAATAGTATGTAAGTTAGCGCACAGTAATATACAAGCGCATATGCACGAGCATAGCAACACAACATACACACACACATGCTGGACACCTGTGCATCAGTGTGTTAAGCATAGGGATGACACGGTGAAGAGCAGAGCAGCTTACTGTAATCTCATCACCAGCACACCACTAGGGGAGAGGTCAGCACATGCACAAACGCGCACACAAACACACAAGTTGAGACAACAGGAAAAAGAGAGAGAGATATGAGTACTATTGAACATTAAAGTGAAAGAATATTTGCTCCCTTCACTTGAAGTAGACAAGTAACAGCCAATGACATGCATCAATCATTCTTAATGGAACATTTCAATTGATTTTCAACGTGAGTATTCAAGGTCACAGCAACAGTGTCTCTCTTCTCTATGGTGTGTTTATGTGTGCACTTTAAACAAGGTCAACAGCTTCTAAGGAAAGGGAAAAATCTATTATCTAGATTTATCAAAATGTCGTCTATTCACAACTTCTTTTTCCGCATATCTTCTCATCTATTTCACTGTATAAAACCGAGCCATATCACAATCCACTATCTTTTTCTATTGTAACACTAGCCGCACAATAATGGCATGTGAGACAAACAGTGGCCATTAGCACAAGGCTAAGACCAACAGCTTCCTCAGCGAGAGGAAATGCCACACAGTGCCTGCAGTATGTGAATGGGCCAATTTGGCTGAGCCCAGAACAAATTATCCGTCTTTCTCACCCTCCCTCTCTCTTTCTGTGTGTGTTCGATCCATTCTCGCTATGATTTCACTTACAATTCTCTTTATGTGTTTGTTCTGTGAAACAAAGCAGTCGGTCAATGGTGTATTGTTTGTGTGCCCAAGTGTGTGCGTGTTTTACAGGCTCCATAGTGTTATTGTTTGGTCGTATTGTGATCAGTAAAGGAGCACTGTAGCTGGATGAGACAGAGATATTGTAAGCACAGCTAAATATGGAAAGTACCATATCGGTCAATGGGGAAGAAATGCGTATTTATATTTCCTGCTTTTGTGAATCAACTGTAGCAAGAGCTACAGAGCTTCTTTTTGTTGTCTGTTAAGTTGTTGAGTGAATAAAGCAAGATTTGGGAGGATGGGAGAAAAAGGGACAAGAATGATGAAAGAAGATGGGAAGCGAGGAAAAACAAGACCTTAGAAAGGAGATCAGACAGGGAGAAGTGTGAAATGGGTAGAAAAGAAGACCAAGATGGTTTGCAAGCTGACAGAGTTGATCAATAACCCACTCAAAGAACAAAATCTTGGCAAAAAAATCTCACCTAAAGATTTGTCCACTTAATTATAGGCCTAAACCTTAACCACACACAAAAACATTTTAAACAAACCTTGATTGTTCCTGTTTCTAAAACACTCATCAAGTCCCAACCCTAGCCTTAGCATTAGATGAAATCTCAAACAAAATCTGACAGGATGGCAATTACTGTGCTCTTAACATGGCATTGTGGGCAGCTAGGATTGGTAGATGCCATGTTGAGCGCTAGTGGTGGGTATTTGTCACTGTGGGTGCCCCATCTGCTGCTTTTGCCCAAAGATAAAAGAGGTGGATGGCTATTCTTCTTTCACTCCAACTCAATCTCTGATTTCAGGGCTGAAAAACCAAGGTTACAGCACACTGTCTACTTTTTGTTTATGATACTGAATAAGAGTCACTTTATAGCTACAGCAGTGCCACGGAAAAATTGGTCACGTAAGAAATAAATCTTGATTTAAGTATAAGATAAGTTTTTCATTGCTACTCTGATGATTATGGCTATTCTAGGCTGGTCACAACAGCTAGAAACTCTAAGCCATTGGAAAACTTTGTCATTCCAGTATGGTATAGTCATCGCAAAGAAAACCAATCCCCCTGTTTTGAAACCTGGCTCACAGAGCTTTCTAGTACTTTGTACTGTATATAGAGAAAATCCGATATGGTATGTTAGGGAAAACAAGAAGGTTTAAACAGATCCTTCACAGCACAGAGGGGACCCACATGACACGTCAACGACTTTTATTTTAGTTAAACATTTGTCTTATATAATTCTCAAAACACAATGTAATTGTATAAATGTATGGCCATAGAAACCTTTGAAGAGTACACCAATTGTTTTTTTTTGTCTTTTCCCCCCAACTGATGTTCCTTGTTGTTAATTGCCTTAATATTCTCTTTTTCTCTGAAAAAGATTTATATATATAAGTTAATCTCGATCACATAGCGTCAAAGAGATTAATATACTGCTGCAATAAATCATACCTGAATTAAGGTAATAAAGTTCAGTTTTTGCTGAAACAGTTTGTTTTATTTTTTACGTACAATTACTTTGGAGGTTGTATTGCATTTTACACAGTTGTTTCTTTATTATTTAGCCTGCCCTCACTGATATACGTATATATGACAAATGACATATGACAATATAATAACAACCCTTCTCAGTATAACACACACTGTAGAATGGCAATGTCCAAAAGCCACATGTGCCTGGGTATATATATTTATATATAGCCATATTGAAAACCCAATAAAAAAGACACATTTTTTACATACTGTAAATAAATCAAAATTAATGCATATACATAATTGTAAGCTAGAGGAATGAGGCAAAGATAAAGGGGATAGACCAAATGAGAGGGAGCGAGGACGATGAAAGGATACTCTGAATGGACTTCTCGTTCCCATCTGATAGCAGAACTTCTTTCACGTCAGCACAAATGGCAACCTGAGAGACAGAGAAACAGGAAAGAGACAGAGAAATGAAACAACACAGAACAAAAGAACAAAAACAAAAGCACCCTTAGATGAAGCAAACAGCTGAACACACGCACACACACACACACACACACACACACACACACACACAATAATGACATAACCATATCTACAAAGCTTCACTCTTGGCAGCCCAGCTCGCCCCACCCTCTCTCTCTATTGCTCCCTCTCCTCCCTGCCATTTCCCTCTCTATCTTCACCCCATTTTTATGTCTGCATTATTTTAATCATTCAATCAAATCAGTCAATACTTTTATCATTGTGGCTAGCGGTGGGGGCTGCTATCTTGCTATCACTCTGTTCAGTAATTGCATTGTGACAGGGGATGATGGCAAGCGCAGAGCCTTTTCATTTGACGCTGGGTGTTTATCGGGCCGAGCCATCACTCCGTTCGCCGCTGTCACTCTGCACCCGGCTCGCCGGGCCTGGCTGATGCCCTTCATATAACTTTGCAGAGCAGACTGTGAGCGACAGAGAGAAAAAGAGGCAGAGGGAGGGAGACGGGAGAATGGATAGACAGCTTTGTGCTGCGCTGTGTGTCTCTGTGTGAGGGAGATGTAGATAGAGAGGTGTGTGCTTTACTATAACCCCATCTTTTCACATTCTCTTTTCTTTGCAGATGCTTTTTTTATATCAGCAAGTGTGTGTCAGGCTGTCAATTTCTGTTAAGTGTGTGTTTGTGAGTGTGTGTGTGTGTGTGTGTGTGTGTGTGTGTGTATGTCTATACCCATAGGTGAGAATAAGTGCAAGTAGCTATTGTGTTGGAATGCACAGAAATGCTATATGGCAGATTTAATGTAAAAAAATATATCATGTAGCATATCAAGTGTATGAACAGTTCTGAAGCAAACAGAACACACACACATGCACACATGTTAAGGCCCTGCAGGGTGTATGAGGGGGTCACTGAGTGCTATGCGTCCCACCATCTGCTCAAATAGAGGAAGGGGCCTCCAGGATGAACCAGAGCATCCAGCTGAAAGATCAAGAGCCCAACCTTGCAAACCATGAGCAACCACCCGCCACCTGCTATACACGCATGCAGAGTAAGGTTACATCAAATGATCACAAACATCTTAATCTAAACACAGGTTATCAAAATGTCAGCTGCAGTTAAGTGCTCGGTATAGTGCTGTTCCGATATCAAACCGCTGTCACATCATAAAACAGATTTATTTTTCAACAGTTTTTGAAGCCACTGACAATAGATATCTTCCCTGAAGCACTACGATAGCTTATTGGTTACAATGAAAAACATATTCACAAGGAAATTATTTATAACTTATTGTTATTTTTGAGGTGTTTTGTTACTGATTATTAAGTGTTCATCAAGTCATATTAACCTTTCTAGTTTAATAAATTGATTTGAAATAACAGTTGGGCCATCAGATTTAAAGATGGGAAATAATTTGAGCAGATTTCCCACAAGAAAGAGAGACACACAGTCTGATACAGAGATTGGATGTATACAGTCTGAAAAGTAAGAAGTGTGAAAGAAGTTCAGAGAGGGAAAATAAGTAGAGTGCTGTAGAACAGAGTCATGGAAAACTGAAGAGCCGAGTTATTAACAAAGAAAATAAGGAAATCATTGAAGATTATCACAATGTTCTCAGCTTCACTTATTTAAGTGCTATGAAGCTTGATTTGAATACAGGTATTCTTTTTGCCATATTGGCTTAAAAGCAATTTGAACATTTTGACTATGAAATGCTACTTCAGGTTTACACAGTTCAATAGCACATTTGTTTCTGATCTTGACGTTGAGATTTGCTTTATTCTTCCCAAATGTTACAGATCTGTGGCTTTTGAGGGAGAGAGATTTCTGGATTAGGAGTTTGAGACATTATGAACTAACGGGTTTCACAACTGAAATATTTTATTTAGTTAATGTGTGTCAATTTTAAGGTCACAATTTCAGAGGGTTTGCTCTGGATTATCAAGTAACAATTTATGACTCCACTGATTTTATTCTCAACAAAGCCTACATTACAAAGAGATACAAGATTAAAAGTCTACGGCCATGCTGTGGCTCTGTGAGGCTGTACTTATGCACATCATTGCTTTGAGCTGATAACATGCTCATTATGACTATATTACTATGTTTAAGTTTCCTATTTTAGTTCAGTGCGTGTTAGCATGCTGACATTTGCTAATTAGCATAAAAAACAGTACAATGTTGCGACTGGTAGGAATGCAATTCGGGAGCACTGTCTGTACCACATTTCATGGCAATCCATTTATGTGTTGTCAAGACATTTCACTCCGAGCCACCAACTGACTGACCGACCTACATTGCCATCCGTGGAGCCACTTCGGAAGGGTGGCTAAAAACCTCAGTGCATGTGATAGAGATCATAGCAGATTAAAGCAGAGTGGACTGCCAGGGATACGGGGGGTTTACCATGACTCAGTAATGTCAAGGACATGAGCTTTCAAGTGTGCCAAGAGAAGCTTAATTTCACCTATTTCAGGTTTGAGGCTACAAATGTTAAGGTGACATATCTTCATTTGATTGCATGTGGCAAGGTACTGCAGATGGACGCTTACCACAAAGATGTGGTATTACCTTTAAAATTATCCTGAAATCTAGAGTGCAGTTTGACAGGACACTGCTGGAAGATGTGTAAAAAAGGAAGGGGCAATCAAAATCAGGACGTGAAAATGGTAAAGAAAATAACTGATTATGGAAGGGGTTGAATGAATGACAAAAAGCAGGTTGGCAGGGAGAGACGAAATACAACAACTAATGGGATAATTAATGAACTGTTTACGAGGACAACAGAGAAAAAAACTTCAATGTGGTGTCAGTGACGGATGAAGGAGGGATGAGGAGAGGTGTGAAGGAAGGACTCCATCTCAAGCCACCAATGTCAAAACATGGTGTATTGAGTGCCAAGAGATAAAACCAGGCTTTCAGACACACACACACACACACACACACACACCATACACCACACAGAATGGCATCTAGCAGATCAATGGGACATTAACGCCTGCTATGTGGAGGGGCCCTTAAGAACCTGGCTAATAAACCCTATGGCTGACAGACTGTGGTATATCTGAGTGTGTCAGTGTGTGTGTGTGTGTGTGTGTGTGTGTGTGTGTTGTGTCAATACAGGACAGCTTTTAAGACCCAAGCTAGTTCATATAGCTAGGTGTCACTACTCACGCAGTCTGGTGATTTTGTGAGTGTGCTGATAAAGAAAGAGCATAAAATAATCATTATATCTTGTACAAAAACAATCCTGTTAATCATAAAAACTGGCTTCACATCTGGACAACCTACTCTAATTCTGAAAATATAAGATTACTTGGAAGAAAAGCTCCACCGCACAAGTTTTTCTTTCAATTTAAAATCTGCAATTTTCAGATAGTGTTGCTTTAATTGCAATTTGCCATTAATCTAACAAATCAGCGTCATGGTAGGCAAGTACCAGGTGCTGTGATAAGATGCATCAATGTTTTCATACAATCAAATGTTTCAGATTCAGCAATTTACTAAGCAGAGAACTCTTAAGCTAAGAGAAAAAGCATGGTGAACCTTGTTACTATAAATTATGTTGTGTTTCATGACTGATCTTGGTTCAGTATGTGTTGTTTAGTTCAGCATAAACACACAATAGCAAGAGGTACAAATACTGCTGCCATATTAACAATTAAGGCCAATATAATTTAACAGGGAAAGCTAACTGACAAAAAAATGTGTGAATGTGGCATGAGGAGACACAACCTGTATGGGCCGACATACACAGTGTGTTGCCTTGGAAACCCCAACTGTTCATAGACTTAGGAGCCATTTACAGCACTAAACTTAAACTTTGATTTTGGATACGCCCATACTTTTATTGTTATACAAGTAATTCAAGCAGCTAGGAGCTAGCTATAGGTATAACATATTCTGTGAATATGGTGAATATGGTCCAAGATGGTCCAACACTTTAGAGAAGACATGTGACTTACTTTTAATTTAATGTGGGTAAAGAGAGAGCATGCATACACTTGTGAAGGTACACAAACACACACACACAAACACACACACATACATACACGAGAAGTGAATGATATGAATAGAAATAGTTATGGATACTGTGTGCCCATGCTGTTTGTGTATTGACTGGTGAGGGTCGATTTTATTAGGGAAGCAAAGCCTGCATAAATATATATGTGTGTGTGTGTGTGTGTGTGTGTGCATGCGTGTGCGTCACTTACCATGAGTCCAGCAAGACAAGTCATTCCTCCTCCTAACTCACACACTGCACCCCTGAGAGAGAGAGAGGGAGAGAGAGAAAAGTTGGAGTAATGTTCACCTTGCTGTGCCAAACCTAGCAGTTTAGCACTAACACACACACACACACACGCTCATACTGTACAGTAGATGCACACAGATATATATACACACACACTCACAAAAGTGCATGCTATCATACAAACACATGCACATACACACACAGTAAAAACAGCAGGGTAAGAAATATCAATTCAGCCATCAACTTGAAAGCTGAATACTGAACATTGAGAAGCACAAGCTCAATCAGCGGGAATCTGAGAAAACACACACACACACACACACACACACACACACACACACACACACACACACACAGAGTCCTGTAGCTTGGATGCTCATTCAACCCCTCTCTCTATCCTCTTCCTCCTTTCATCTCCCCTTCCCCTCCATCTCTACCCCTGTCCTCTTTCATCCCTCCCTGCCTCCCTCCCTCTCTTGCTGACCTTCACTACGTTGCTCTGATCAATACCCCTCTCTTCCTCGGCTCCCGCCTCTTGAATGTTAAAACAGGAAATCAAAGGGCGACGTTCCACCTTGAGTGGAAATCAAAGGTGCCTGGGTGCTTTTTCAGCCCTGTGCCGCAGGGCAGGACAGTGCTCAGCAGATGAGGGCAGGGGAAAGAGCAACACAGAACAACACAGCGTGGCATGGAAAAGGCACCGAATGACACAAGTACCAAGCATTTACTGCCGGTCACAGTTAGATTTAAATTAGAGGCATTTTGGGAAAGTGGTGGTGCTGACATGTTCTCTGATTACTGAATTTATGAACTTACAAAATGTAGAAAATTAGCAGGTTAAATGTAGAGGATTTGATATATTTTGGTGTAATTACATTTGATAAAATGTGAAACAGATACCGTTATCTCGCAACAGCTGTGTGTTAGCATTTTCAAGGATGTTGCTACTTTACCTTCCCCCGCCTGCACCTCCCTGCTGCTAATTTGTGTTTTCAATTTTCTCTTTAATTTTACTGAATACGAGAAACATTTTCAAAGTGACTTTTCCAACAGCATTTTCTAATGTAGCTCCACCATCTGAAAATGCTAAACAGAAGCTATACAAACTTAAAACAATGCTGCAAATCCCGATCAATGTAATTAATCACAGCTGTTAATCCTTGTTTTATTGGTGAAACTGTTGAGTCTTTTGACGATGGGAGTGAGCAGGTTCAACGAGAAGAATAACTCACTTGAACATGAAACGTTTCTGCAGACAGTAATGAGCCATCACCTCTTCAGATGGCCACACACCTAAGTCAGAGAGAGACAGAGAGAGAGTTAGAGACTGATGTTTATCCATTTCAGTGACAGATCTTTATTTACAGGCATTTATCTAGCATCTCTAGTGTGACAAAGGGCTTTGATTCCAGTGTCTCAACATCAAAACACCTTAATATTGATATAAAACCGAAATAAAAACAATGAGTGTTCAGTGAAACATAATTGGATGCATAGTATGTTTTCAGTCTGTCTTCATTTGCTTCTCTTGTGGTTTCCACCTTGCCTGTGATCCAAGGCTTCTCTGCCTCTGTTTGTCTGTCAGTCCTTCTGTCTATCCTAAATCCTTGCAACACACTCTCTCATTGGGCACTGTGTATGCAAGTGTGTGTGTATGTGTGACAGGGGGTCCGGTGGGTGATAATCACAGCGCGCAGGCCTGTCTGGCTTATCACCTACTGTCAGCCCTTCTCCTTCTGCCGTGCATATTACACACTAACACATGCGCACACACACGCGCACACTTGCATGCTTGGTGCTATTTTCCCTCTCTCTCTCACAACACACACACACACACACACACAGACAAACACACACATCTTGGCAGTAGAAAAAGTAAACATTCATTTGAATAAAACTTCAGCTTTTTGCTTCTGGCTTTGAACAAGAAGGTTCGGCTTGGCGCGGCCTGTGTGTGTGTTTGTGTGCACATACGTGTCTGTGTGTTTGTGTGTGTTTATGAGTTGTTGAGAAAAGAGAATGAGGGAGAGAAAGCAAGAGAGGGAGGGAGGCAGAGATAGAAAATGAGCGAGGTAAGGAGAGAAAACTGGGGAGGGAGGGTTAGAGGAGGAGGAGGAGAGAAAAGGTGGTAGTCGATATAATAAGCGGCTTACAGACGGTCTCTCTTCACCTCATAGGGCAGACATCACTGCTCTCTCCCTCTCCCTCTCTGTGTCTATCTCTCTCCCTCTCCCTCTTGCTCTCCCTTTCCCCTCGCTCCGGTCCGCCAAGATTAGCTCAAGCAAGCAGGATTTAATAATGCCTATTGATAAAATGTCCACATATTCCTTTTCCCCATTAGAAAAAAAAAAACAAGCTTTCTACGTCTTGGCCTGACAGCACACACACACACACACACACACACACACACACAAACACACACACATACAAATACAATGACAGCCAGAGTAGTTATACTGTGTCTAGAGAGTGTCAAGAGTGTTATTCCCCTTCAGCCAGGCACTTGTCACCCTGTATGTAAAACTTTATACGGTCAACTGGCACAGTAACAGTATACTATATGTAGAGCGCCGCTCTTTTTATGCATATAAATGTTTTCTTTTATCTGATATTTATATTCTTAATGACTTTAGATATTTTATTCTCAATGAGTATGTGTTGTTGTGCTGCTTTTTTTGTTGTCAACAAATCCCATTAAAAGTTCAAAACCAGCAATGCATTGGTCAGCCTCCCAAAGCTTTCTAACTTCTCTACCTTGTTTGTGGCCCCAAGTCTATTTGTTCCTTCTGAGGACACAGATCAAAAAAAAAAAAAAAAATAGGTACACAGATTTAAGGTCAACTATTTTTAAAAGTTATTTTCTAAAACAGCTGGGCATTGTAGTTTTTGGAAAGACATTACTCAAATGGGAATATGTTGGGAACTTTTTTCAGCCACAGATTAATAAAGATTTCATGCAATAGTGAGCATTTATTGCACCAAAATGGTGTATGATGAGAGATTGACTCAAAATAAACTCCAGTACATAGCTGTAGTAATAACGAAAGATGCAAATTACATTGTGGCTCATTGTTGACTTTTGCTGCAAAGGATTTGGTGAAAACAAGAATAAAGAATATTGCTAGCCTTGTCCTTTTAAAGGGAAAAAATAAATTTTTCGTGTTTAAGTAAGCCTGGACAATAAACCATATTTATTAAATTAGCAACATTGAGGACCTCTATAGTACCTAAATGTACTCTCATCTCAGTTTTAAATAATAAAATAGTCTGGATCCCATATAATTAAGCTTTAAAAAAATGACAACAATGACATCTAACTAGTCCTGTTCAAAATCTGGAGTGGTCAGATTATAATGAATTAAACACACACATATGAAAAGTGAGACAGCAAAATAAAGGAAATGTCAATTATAATTTAATTTAAAAAAAAATACATATCATTACATTGATCAAGACAATTATCCTGAGATAGACTTCAGATATCCTGTCAAGTGCTATGTCACTGTATTGAATAAAAGGCTAAGGTGCAACTTTTGTTACCCTGATGAATAAGAAGTGGTAATAAAATTCAATTTCAGTATTCACCAGGCAGGCACAAACAGTTAAAAGTCCTGATCTTCTGCAGGACCGATCATAGACACTGGAGCAACTTCAGTCGCTGTTCATCATCTAGAATATGTGCATGCATGGGGTATTGTGTGTCTTAAGCTGCTTCCTCATGCTTCCCGTACTTTCCCCGAAACGTAATTATGTCCCACCACACACTTTTGCCCTGTAAAATGACAGTTTAGCCCCACCCCCCGTGTCCACGGATGCATGTCACCATGACACTTGACATCAAGGGGCCACCCAAAACATCTTGTGCAGATGAACAGTAGAGGGTGGTAATGCAGCATTAAACTGTGATCCACCATTCAATAACACAAGCAGAAGAAGAAAAATGATGCCCCACCCCCCCACACTCTCATCTCCAGTTTCATTTGGTTTTAATTCTGCTGCTGACTCCTGATGATGTACAAGTCATGAGTGGCATCTAATTGGTTAGTGAAGTTATTGTAACACCATTCCATCCTGAAGGGGAAGGTTTCAAGGGGATAATCCGGACAAAGCCCTTTGTTCAGGTTGTTTCCTTTTGGGTGTCTACGCATCCCTAAAGATAACTCTGTGCCCAAAACTTCGGTCCAGTACCAATAATGTAAAGTTCTAAACTGGATATTTATTTCCATGTTTTCACACGCCTCTGCTCTGTTCATGTCCGCTAACTTTCTTTAATACAAAGTTATGTGCCTGTGTGTGTGCCTGTGTGTGTGTGTGTGTACGCACATGCATTGTATGTGAGAGAGAGCAAGACAGACAGCACTAAGTAATAAAGCTTTGTAAAGCATATGTGAATCGGATGGTTAATCCCTAACTGCAATAACATTAATAGCCCAGGGTGATAGGAACTATGTGTGTGTGCCTGTGTGTTCGTGCGTGCATGTGTGATAAGTATGTGGTGCCTGTTTGTGTGTGTGTGTATGTGTGTGTGTGTGGCTCCCAGGTCGCGGTGCACTGTAGGAAATGAAGGGATCAGGAGTAGAGAGCAGATTACTCTTCCTGAGGATAATGAAATTATTTCTCACCTTCAATTACTAGATGAGGAAAGGAAGCAGTGTAGGTGTGTGTGAGTGTGTATCAGCTTAATAAAGTTATCTGTCCCAGGCACTAAACCTTGTCAATGGTTTTACCCCGAAAACCATGTGCAGCTTATTGGGATTGTGTGCTAGAAACATTGTTAACATGCCTCTGGCTTGCCACTGCAAGTTTAAGAATAACTAAAACCTGTAAGATATACAAAAAAGTATATCCGATGAGAAGGAGTTTCTTAAAAAGTATATGTGTACCATGTATTCTGGCTTTGCGTGTCAGATGCCCATGTGTTCATTTTAAACATGAGGAGGTTTGATAATTGTTCTTTTGTAAACCTTTATTTTTTCCCTGTGGAGTGGCTTATTCCTACTGCTATACCACTGTTTTTAAATACATGTAATTGCATTCATACACTGCCTGACCAGTCAGTAGTGATTATTTCACGCACACAGGAAAAATAACCTAACTGGAATTTCTATGGAGGGATAAATCCTTTTAAGTGTTTTTTTTAGTCAAATTTTCTTCATATGTAGCTTCAATGAGAAACCAATTTCATGTGGGGGACATATTATTTAGATTTACTGTACATCATAGGGTTATTACTTAAATGTAAAACTGAATGCAGTTTTCTGGCCACGTAAAATGTTCAAATGTAATAAACTGATGGATAGTAATAATAATAGTAGTAATAGTGATGAAATCTAATCATGATATTTCCCTGTGAACACTATTTGTGATTATCATTTGATTTGCAGGCCTTGTGTACAGTTTTTGCCTCATTAACTGATATTTTTTGATGTTTTATGATTAATTCTAAAAGTTTTTTCATTACATCTTAAAAAAGGCTGTCAACTGTTTTCACCATAAGCACGTATCTTTTTTCCTACATTATGGCTTATAGTCTGATGAAGACCTACTGTAGGGTTAAAACAAAACAACTGAACACGAGGCGCTGCAAGCGGTTGTATGCTGTCCATGTGTTTCCTGTGCTTTCTTAGAAAAGTCCTAAATGCCTGTTTGCATGTTTCATTCCTGGTGTGTCAACAGTATTGGAGGTGGGAGGCCTGCTGAACCAATCAGATTTCTTGGGTGCAGCTAGCTACCCACTGAATCTACTGTATAATCCCATGGTCCTAACCTCTCACCTCTCCACATCCTGGTGACCTGGGGCTGACCTTGGGAACTCCACGACTTATGGCAGCACTAATCTGGCCTCAGTAGTTATGAGTAATCACATGCACAGGAGTGGAATTAGCCAGGTTTGGGTTTTGGTGGCAGCAGGCTGACGTTCTTCCTGAGAGATCCCGAGGCACTCCAAGGCCAGGGATCAGACAGCGCGGATGGAATTAGCTAAAGGGCTATTTCAAATATCTGAAGGGGATCCAGGTGCTGTTTGGGAAAGACAACCTAAAATAGCTCAGTTAAGCCAAGCTAAACTAACAGTACTTGATGGAGTCAAGGCCGCTACTCTGTTCTCAGTACCAAGAATTAATTAAACAGAGCCTGAACACTTCAATTTAAAAGATAACAGGATCTGCGTAAGTGAGCTTGTGCTGAAAGCACTATCGATTGCTGCTTTTCAGACTGTTTAAATGACAGGTGGTCTCTTGAAGGTCTGACATATTCTAAATTGTCTCTGACAACTCTGCATTTACCATCACAAA